AAGTAAAACATGAATTAGGACTTACCTTGTAAGGTGGTTTAATATCAGTACATTCAGGTTCAGTTGAATCACAATATCAGCTATTGGAATCCGATCATGTTCCCAAATTCACGAAATTCTATCGATTTGGGTAAGTCTTGACGATTAGATCTGCTATTGAAGACTACTTCACTGTCTACTTTTTCCGCCTAAGTTCAAAGACTTTGAAAATGTTCGCTGTAAAGTTAAGATGTCAAACCGGCTTAGAATGTTCCAAAACACCTTCTTATAAAGTTGACTTTAAAGAAGTGCTAGAATCGGTCAAGTGACATAGATTTAGTGTTTAAAGATGATTTTTCAGTCAAATATGAAAGTAAAGCCTGAATACTGTCTGTTCCACACTGATGGCACGTTCCTGTAATTAATGAACACAGTCTTGGAGAACTTAAAGATGGAAACCTTTCGTGAACATGTGGTGCATTGAAAAAGCCGCTAATTAATGTCTACATTAACCCATTGAAGACTCCCAGCATGTAGTGTACTTTCAGCTCCTTGGCTGTCATTAATAATATGCACCATCAAAAGCTACTCCACGATTTGAAGGCAATTTACATTGCTTTCACTGCTTCCTACTAAAGTTGAAAATTTGTACGAATTGATTTTATAAGTGCTATTTTAAAAAGCAATATTCCCCTAGTTGAAGAGCCACCTTTAATTCGTACATTTTTGCACGAGTGAAAACGCTCCTTTGTGTGAAATGAGTCGAATCTCAAAGCTTCATCGTCACGATTATGCTTTCGGATCGTCGACTTCTTAAACGAACTGTAAATTAAGATCTTTTCATCCAAAAAATCATTTGGGAAGTTATTTTGGCCATGAAAAGTGTAGTCAACACTAGGTCAACGTCGATCATGTCATTGTACTTGGTTTAATTCACCCATGGATTTCAAACTCTGACATCCTGTTATACTTTTTCTGCATGAAAACCCTGACTTCTGAGGGATATATATTTTTATTGCCTTCACAATTACCGATAACCTTTTGCTGCATTCGACTAGAAGAATTCGGCCAATCGTATTGTCTCTTTGAGGCAGGAAAAGGCAGGAGTAGAACTGACATGCCGCATTTTTTGCTTGCTTCAGTTGTTTTAAGTAAACGAAAATGCCAAGTTTGCATGGCCAAAATCAAGACTACCATTGTTCGTGCTTCGTTGGTCTTTTAAAAGAATGCAAAAAAAGCAAATATATGAAGAAAACACACCTTCGAAGGGACTTATAAAGCCTGAGCATGGCTCTCTTAATTAGGGTTTGAAAACTGATGCATTTAGTGGTTTTCTACTGAAAGACAGATGAATCAAGCGTTTTGCGCAAGTAATATTTTGGTCGCAAAAAATCTTGTCTTCATGGAATCATTGTTCTACTTTAAGCATTATCAGGAGTGCCATCTACAAGACATTTTTGTAATATCACATGACTTATGACCAAGTCCATCGCCGTGTGGTGGTTGCACTTCAGTAAGTAGCTCTTTCAGTACAGATACTGCCACTTTCCACCTTGAAAGGAAAAATTCCTGGTTATTTTATAATAATCTATCATGAGGAAAAGGATGCCACTAGACGTCTGAGAAACCATCAGTTTCTTTCTGAATAGTATCTATACTGTTGACTAGGTCCTTTTCAGGGGCATCTAAGAGAACTTGGGGTGAAAGCGAACTACCCGGGAAATGTAACTATGCCAAACTGTGCTTTTGAGCATTCCACGTGTTAGTTAGTTCGGATTGCCAGCAATTTTAAACTGTGTAATAGCTGCCTGAACAAGGCCAGATTTTGTAGTGACTAGAGGATTTAGCACTACCCTACAACCCTCAAGTTAACGGCCCGTAACTACCCGAGGAGAGGGGAAAAGGAGGCGACGGAGAACACGACCGTTTATTAGAGTCGAACTAGCCAAGTGGCTTTGTGGGCGTGAGTACGCGTGAGTAACAGACGAATGCTGACAAAGGCCAATAGCAAAAGGGGTGAGTCATTGGTCCGCTTGGGCCCTCATGCACGCACACTCACGCGGGGTGGCTGTCAGTCCACCACAATTTATCAATCAATTACTGACCCTGGGAGCGGTCCAACTAGTCGTTCACGCACCTCGACATTTCTTCATTCGTCGAAATACACTAATGATTCGTAGCCCTTCACTGCATCTAGGCAATTGCTACATTACTGAATTTTTTTAGAAAGGAGTTCATGAATAGTCATCCTAATAGCCAGATTCTCAAATTTAATCCAAAATGTTTTCGGAATTTTTAAATTCAAAATCACACACGATTTGGTGTATGACAATCAGACTCCCAAACGCTGAATTGTCAGCTAATAGGTTTTGCCGCACCATACGCTCGAGATGGTGCTGACCCTACCAAAGTATTTCATGGCTGAATTGGTCCACCTTTTCACTTTTTACTCTAACATTCAAATTAAGGTCAATAAATGGGCTGTACAACATCGATATCCGTTAGACGGGGACCATTAAGATTGGTGTTTAATTGAACCTCCTTCAGTTGAAACCTTATTGAGTAGCAGCCTAAAGTGATTGGCCGAAAATCTGGCAGTTTTAATCCACTTAATCCTCTGTTGCAGCCCTGCCATCTTTCAGCGCTGAGCAGTTTTATCCCGCCGAAACTTGCGGTTGCGCTAATCTAATCTTTTATTGGTGACTAGATGATGGTGGGATCCCTTGAGTACGCACCGAACAGCCTCATAATGTCAAGCTAGTCAAGAAAAAGTGCTACTTTTAATTTAATAGTGTTGTTTTAACCACACCTCGTGCTAAATGTCGAGGAAATTAGGTCCATCAGTAGTGTAGCAGACGTACCCTGCTACTAATTCATCAGAAAGATGTTTTAAGATGAGCAGGGAGGACGGCGACACAACTGTCTATTCAGTGACTCAACCCAGCGTGTTTGCCACGTCGTAGTGCATGCAAAGCCCCGTGTACCTCTCCATCGCAGGTGCATAATTGAGGGAATTTAGTGATGGAGGCTGCCCACCAGTAGAATTTCGACGAACTGGCGACCATACAAGCACCTAAGCGACAAGATACGTAGTCGAGTGACAGGATGGGTAAGTGACGAGGGGTGCGTGCTCACGCATGCACATTCCGAATGCTAATGAGGGGGGAGGGTAATTTGAACTCCAAGGCTCATAGTTAAGCGTGGCTATTTATTCATGCAGAACTAACCAAATCCGGTTAAAATCTAAAGTATAATCTTCATAATACAAACAAGTGCAGCTCCTAACGCATCTACTCGTGTTGAAGAAAAAGAGGACACCTTATTAATTATTCCAAAGAAAGGAAAGTTCTCTGTCAACTTGACCTTATTTTGGGGTCGTGCCCGTCGGTAAAATTAATTGATCAAAACTTTAACCATTTTGTTTTGGCATTGCAGCTTACTTAAATAAGTGGTAGTTAAAAAATCTTACGAAACGTCATTCATGTATGGAGATTCTAAAGCCTTCGTCTTTGTCCTCTGGTCGTGTGAGCACAATTAGAATGTCTTACGGTCTGTCTCTGACTTTGTCCGGTTCGTCTTTCTAGTTTTCTAGAATATAATGTGATTACGAAAAATCGCTCAGTTATGCGCCATCTGGCCAGTAGACACAAACCATCTGGATGAAATGAATGTCTCCGCCTCTAGTTTCCGACCAGAGCTCTGTTTTAAGGAGTTAAAACACATGACCATTGTATCCCTAAAAAAGGTTTTTCTGAGAAATCCGTTTAACTTAACTTTATAAGCAATGTGGGTGCACAAGCGACTGTGTGTACTTATTCTGCTATTTTAAGGGCTCATTTTTATGTTTTTACATGGGTAAGTTCGAAGCTATAAAAGAAGTCTTGTATTTATTAAATTAGTTACTTACTCTTCACCCCAAATGATGTCCCTTTAAGCCGATTTTCCTACCTTATGTGGACTTAAAGAATTTTGCTGAATTGCCTTAAGTTGTAAAATGAGCTAAAGGCCCCTTAAGGCAGTTTCGTCAAGAAATCTGGGTGCCCACACATATGAATTCCTCAGATTGCTTCGGTTTAAGTTCCCTCTAATTGCGTCTTAAATTTTATGGAAGCCAACTAGCAGACATCTTTTTTACTTGCTTCGCTTTCGCTGGTTATCTAAGATAGAGTTATATCCCGCTGGATGTATAGCACAGCATTTCCTGTCCTCAATCCAGAATTGGTAGTTTTTTGACATTAGCTTTATTTTTTGAAGGTTTTTAATATTGGGACAGAAAAGAGTAATTTTGAGATTACCTTGAACTTATCTAGCACAGTTACCAACGCCTGCTTTTAATACCCATATTTTAAAACATTTTTTTATTTATTCTCTCAACCTTAAATTCTACAACTTCCACAGGAAATTAGTTCTGACCTGCGCATGAGTCCAAATTTACAATTCGTTATATTCGAAGTAGAGAATATATCGATTTAACCTCATATTCGTGAGCATTTTCGCATTATTGATTTTCTCCATTCGTCAAACAGTATACAAATGATAAAATAATTTTTAAAATGGGGAATGCGCAGTGCTCTGGTTTTCAACTGAACCAGCTTCATGCATCGAAGGAAAGCTCGAAAGCCAGGCGTAAAAGTGACGTCATTGATCTTAAATTCGAAAAAGCCATTCAATGTGGAATTTTATTGCCTCCAAGTCCACTGGATATGGCCCGCCAGTTGGCCCATTTTTCAACGAAAATGATCCAGGTGGGCACAAGACCGTGCCTCCATAATCGATCGACTTGTACAGAACATGATTTCAAAACACTCACTGGTAAATTTTCTTCCCCTCCAAGAACTTTCAGTTCAAGCCCACTTCCCACTCAGTATAATAGTTTCCGTGATGATAGATATCGTTACATGTCTAATCCTACAATGAACTGTCAAGACGTCTTTGGATCACATTCTTCGCCATCTTTTGACGTGTTGCCTGGGACTTGTGTTTTCACGACAAAACAACCAATGTGTTTTGAGTTACCCGTGATGCAACAAGCACATCAGAAATTAATGGTGAGAGGTCCACAAGTAAATGACTTGCCTGCATTGCAACCGAAGACAACACATCAGAACTCGAGTGAAGGCGACGACACTTGGCCAACTCCGCCACCAACTGAATTTTTCGAATCAGTTAGACAAACGCAAACACCGCAAATAGCCAAACAGCAGCACGTGCAAATAGCTGAGGAACCAGAAATCATACCCCCACCAACGGTCGACACTCCAACTACTGGTACACTTAAAAAGGCAAGGTCATGGCACAGTCTCATAGACCACAAAAATGAGGAGAAAATCAGGGACAGCAAAGCCCCCCAGGCTATATCTATGGAGACTATAATGAGCCCGACCCCTACTCAGCGTAATTTATCAGTTGGTCGACCTTTTACAATGCCATCCTGTCAACATTTTTATTCAGGCATGTGTTCCAATTTGTCATATTGTTCACTCCCTCCCTGTGCCATGAAGAATTTCGCATTTTCCGAAACAAACCAGTCCAATTTGGGCAACGAGCCTTTGGATATGGGAAGGGGGTACTCTAATGGTGAATACTTTAATTATTATAATCCGCGTTGTCGATGTTGTGTGGCGCGACAAGCTGGAAACCCAGTGTTTCATCGGTCTAGACAGACCCCCATGATACCAGCATTCAGTATGGCCTGTTTGGGCGAGAGGCCTTTTCGGGATGTGTCTCGTTTTTCAAGGACGCATTCAATGCGCACCTACAAGTCGTGGACAGCAGAAGGTGAGAAAAAACGACTAATACGCTTTGGAACAATAAATTATGGTTGCTCCGAGTCCTTTCCCACCTCACCTGTGCGTGGAATTTCAGCGAAGCAAGTTGGTCCGGTTGGTGACACGAACGAGAGGAATGCGAGGAACACGCAGCGTCTGAAGTCTGTCTCATTTGGACGACCAAGTAGATTTCGCTTCTACTTAAAGGAGTTACCGGAAGTGACCAAGATTCTCATGGACACGGAGGACCGCAGAATTCGTACCATCTGTGATCGTTTCCAGTGTGACATGGAAGTGTACTCAAAGGTGCCTAAGTCTGGTTTCTTGCAGTATGCCATCGATATAACAGCACCGGACAGCACCAGTCTCTATGCCTGCTCCAGAAATTTGGACACGGCATTAGGATGGTTCCTAACTGCACAACTAACGGGTTCCCGAAACGTCAAATATTAATCAAGGCTGATCGAGGACAGTTGGTACCTCTACCTTTGCACAATCTATATTTGATCAATAAACCATTACATTTTACACTTGACATCACTTGAGTTGTGGCCACAGGTACAAAGCTCTCAGATAAGTGAAACATGGCAGAATAGTCAAGGGATGCCTAGGTGGGTCACACTAGGCTAGACTTGAATAGCAGTAACCAAAAGAACGATCCAGTATAGCCTCGTGTTACGCACCTTTTCCCTTCACCCCGTGGTCTTCCCACCGTGGCCTTCATGGGACCCAGCACATCGCTACACGTAGTTATCTGGTGTGCGTAATATGAAGTGAATTCGGGTGGAGTGTTAGCGAGGCTTCATTCCCACTGATTAAGTGCCCGAGTCTGCACCCCTCTTTCAAATAATTCGATCAACTCAACATTATTGTCAAAGATACTGAGCGCACTGAACATGCGTCAGGTTAAACATCATGCATCAATGACACAAACCACTATCACAAGTGCGTTCGCAAGGATGATTTAGGTAGACGCCAAAAATACCTGGATTTTGGTCATCGTGTCCGCCGATTCAGGTCACAAGTGAAATCAGCGTATTGCGAAAACGTCATTCGCAAATAATAAAGTAGTTGCGTAGCATTTTGTAAACACAGATTCGCAGTGCATTTAATTGTGTGGCAAAAATAGGTTCTATTATTGAATACATTCGAGGTGTCAGTTATTTGTGCGTAGTTACGCAAATGTGATTTACGTGACTAGAAACATTCAGAACTTGGATGGTCGTCTTGACTAGTGTGTTTTCATGTAAATGTGCCAGAATGTGGGCATGCAGCAGTAGACAGAGTGGTAAGCATCAAGTCAATGCTCCATCTTTGGCAGCTAAGCTAATGCTTTGCTCGTACGTGTAATTTGTCATACTCAACCGAGGACCATTATTAGCATGGTATCAAACTCCTTCGTTTTGACTAGGATAGGCGGGTACTTGAAGATCAACAATTTGAACTATTTACTTCCTCAACCGTGATTCACAAAGTTCACTGGAATTACGTGAATCACGTTTCCAAATTCGGTATTCAGCAAGGTTGTCGTAGGTTCTTACGTTTTGGGAAATCAAGTTTACAGTAAAGGGTCTGTTGAATCAATAATTACCTGTTTGTGTCATTAAATACTATGATCACCACTTTACATGTTAGCCCACATTTTGAAACATTTTAAGATCCATTTTATTGTAAGTGCTCAACAACCCAAAAATGAGTTATGCGTCAAAAAAGTTAAATCAGAAAAAAACCCTCCTTTTTTTAGAAAATTAGTTTTCTAATCATGTCTCAGTTTTCCGCATGGATGAGGTGCTAGCTAAGAACCTCGTTGCGTTTTCCACATTGGGTCTGTATCCCATCTTCCCAGCCGCCCAAACCAAGCCTCGTTTTTGTGCCCTTTCGACCACACTTGCGTGATAAATGTATTGAAAAATCTGAAAGCAAATGTTTGATTAACAGAAAGGGACACGAGGAGTCCATAGGATCAGTTAGGTTTCCACGAGTATTTCAGAATTCCTCGATGTCACCATTTGTATAAGACAATGTTAAATAGGGTTTTTTGTCAACAATTTTCTGTTTCACTGGTGACATAAGTTTGTAAGTGGAAAGATTGTAAACATAAACGTGAGGAATACAAAGCATTGACATACAGCACTTAGTGCGAGTCATGTGGAAGACATCTCGATGTCAAATGACATTAAGAACTAATAATTCAAGGTTGCCATGCCCCTGAAGGTATCCAACCATTGCAAAATACTATCACAAAGAGTTGTGGTTGCAAATATTGCCATGAATATCAGCGAGGACACGTTAGTTTTTTATTGTTGACAATTGGATTAGACGTATCCTTGCTCTCCGTGGCCGCTTTCCGCACAGTGGTATTTTCGAAAATTCTCCGCATTTCATCCCTTCTGTAAGGTTGATTAGTGCCATATGTGCATGGGTTTAACCAAGGAGCCACCAAGGTTTCCAGATGTGCCTCTAAATGGCCGCTCACGGCAACAACAAAAGCGGGGGACGAATTCGCTGGTGTAGTCTCATAATAGTGAGATACTGGTGCTAAAAGAATTGCGATGGATTTACTGATTGGGATACTTTCTAAATGACAGTTCTCCCCTCTGACAACCGTGGCCATTCTCATGCACAAAGTTCTTGCACCGCCTTTTCCACCACTCAACTTATGTCACAGTTATAACCCGCACAGTTGTCACTAAACCATTATTTCCTTGCCATCAGCGTCACGTTAGTATTAGTGCATATTCGCAGTGGTTAAAAAGATTGATGTCAAGTAAAGACGACAACGTTAGGTGACATATTCAAGAGCGATTACAATCAAGCGAATAAAAAGGCAAGTATGGGGAGCGTTGCAAATGGACCTCTGTATTCAATGGAAGGTCTAAAGGTCCATGTTTTGCGCATGCTGACGATTGCCTAAATGCCAGGGTAGTGGGCCTTTTTGCATGAAACGCACTTGATGACACCAGCACTACTTAAAAACAACCTTCTTGCCTCGCATGCAAAATAGAAGACTCCGCGACAGGATTTTCTCTAGGACACGGAAGACTACTTTTAGCCTAATGGCTGGGTCTCCAAAAGAGCTACATTTAGTGCGCGAGACTGGGAAATCCGATTTTGTCGAACGATTTTTGGCGTTCACCTAGAGAAGGTCAATACGCCAGCTAAGTTAGGGTGTCTAGAAACCAAATCTCACTACCCTTTTCCAGATATGCTGCGTCCTTACTTGCTATAACTAATCTTTGGCAAGAGGTGTCAGAGATTATGTTGTTTTAATCAATCACGGCTTTGAGCTGCAGTTGAAGCCAACATGGTGATTTGTTCGTGGTCGGTTCAGAATAGCCACTTCGTCCCAACAGAAACAATTATTTCAGGTCCAATGAAGCTTAGACCAAATCCTTGCGAAGGCTAATTTCAAGTGTCGACTGCAGTAAATGGGCATATCATTCAATTTTTCATGGTAATGCTGGAAGTTCAGTTCGATAGTGCTTAGAATACAGCTTCTCTCAAGTGTATTTATGCTAGACATTTTTAAATGTCAGATTTAAATATTGTTATAGCACGATTACACTTGGTGCTAAACAAACTGAAATTTCTTGTATGTAGTAAATCACCTTGTGGTAAGAGAGCGACCTGTCAAAGAGATTTTTTTTAAAGAGTAAGAAGTTATGTAGTTATGCTACAAATGATTGTAGCAACAACCTGTTTTATACTGGCGGTTGCACAAATAAGTGTCCAATTTTGAGAGATGTTTTTTTTTCAATTAAATTATCCATACAAATCAACCAAAATGTGTCCTGATTGACAATGAAAAGCCATATCAGCTTCATGTAAAATCAATGGCAAATTCAAAAATGAACGAGCTTTGGAACTGCAACAAAAAATATTCAAGGGTTTTATTATAATTGTGCTTTTATTGCTCGAAAAAGTATAATTGGATTATTTACCTTCAAAATGATAACTTCGGCGGCCTCTTGGCAAATACAGTGACATGTATTTAGGAAAAAATTCTACATATTACCACACTTAATGACAGAGAGGAACAACATAGTGGGAAAAGAAACTGGAAGCATGGAACTGATAAAGCAAAATACTCAGCAGGAGTTGTATTGCCAAATTCGATAAAGGTGCTGTTATTCAAATAGTTGCTGTTGGCAACTTTCGACCACATGTTACTCGACAGACTGCAAAAGCCTGCAAGGGGGTTACAGTGGGACACCCTCCATCAGCACCTGCGAACTCCCTCGACCTTGAAGTCAAAACTAAAAAAGAAGAAAAACCAGGTAGTCCATGCGAACCCTCGTAATCATCCAGCATATTTCACATTCTCACTTCGTGCCCACTTATTTTTGAATCTCATGTTTACGAAGCTTCCAGTTTCATTGCGCTGCTTTGCTCCAGACACACCCAACCAAAACAGCACTATGGAAATGACTTTGTATTTTTGCCATGGAATACCTCTCGATTTCCATAGTTACTTTGGAGGCACGCATGTTCAACCTTTAGTGAGCGACCGCATCTCCATTAGGAATACTTGTCTGTTCAGAGTTGATTATATTTGAGCACTTGTAATTTTGCTCAATCAAATGCTGTCTATACTAATCCAACGATTTTGGTGGCAAAAAAATGCGTTTAAACAAACTTCCTGTGTCTTAAGAGTTAATTACTTCACGTCACTTGCAATTCCCTGGTAATTTAATGAGTACTAAATGTGTCACAAGCACCCTAGACGTGATGGTAGGAAAAAAAACAGGCAAGAATGAAGAAGCTCCATGTCAAGATGGCGGTAAGTAATTGCGGATGATGGGGTTCTACATGCGCAGTAATAGTTTCGATTTGAAGTCAGCATTTAGAGCCAATTTGCTTTCGCTTGTATCTTCGTTTTAAATTTGCCTGCTGTATAGTCATTATTAATCTGTCGATGTAGTGGGTTTTGGCAGAAAACCATTAATCTCCCCTACCACATTCAAAAGTAAGTTGCAATAATTGACATCCTTAAATAATCTAACCTGCGCCAGAGTGAAGGTGGATGGTAGTGCAATTATGCAACAAAGGTATCATCACTGCACTGCTTCCCCATCGAAATCCAGGTTGCGAGTCTTGAGCTCTGGAATCATAATATTCACTTTTGGCAGCCACTTCGCTGCAGTCGCTTTTGTTCACAAGTACTACAATACTGCGATTCTTTATCCGTGCGATACATTCGTACAGAAATTTAGAAAGCCCGACTTCTCCATCTTGTAAGATAAGAGTGAATTCGAGGTAAGGCGTTCTGCACATTTATTTCTGACGGCTATCATATAGGCAAGGCAATGGCTACAAAAAGACGCTTCAGGGATCAGAAAAGGTGGCGAGCCGATGAAGCAACGCCTGATGAGTGAAGCAGATCATCCTAGTGTATACAATTGACAGTTTCAAGAGTGAATTAGACGCGACGAGAGCAGTAATGAAGAATAACA